GACATTTGTCGGTTTGCCTTCACTACACGTCGAAGAGATCGTCGATCCCTGTCGGACATTATTTTGGGCTTGCCGGGTCGGGACTGCGGTTTTATCACTCCCTCTCGTTCCCATTTCAACACGACGTCACCAACTGTTGACCGATGTATCTGAAACTTGTCGGAGATGGCACGTATGGAATGACCAAATCGGTGGGAGCCTATGATCATGTCCTTTTCCGCCTCATTCAGCTCTCGCCGTCCACTCATTTTCACTGTTAACGCTCGTATGGCCGTCGCCTGCTCGCGAATGGTCCTTCCCCCACCACAGGTTGCGTATTTATTCCGCCAGGACGAGTCTACCTGCCTTTCAAGGGGTGTCCGGTCATTAATGGCTAGATAGTGTATATCCACCAAATGTTAAGTTGAATTCCTTTGTCGAAGGACTTCCTCTCAAAATCTCGTCATGTCGAATTCTTTTCGAGAGAGAAAAGGAATTTTTTGAAGTGAAGGAACAAGTGTTCCTTCACTAGGTTTTTTTTCTAAGTTAATGAAAATAAAAGATTAACTTTAATTTTCTTGTACCTTTAGTGATGTTCCTCATCAAAAGTATGTTAAAAATATGAAAAACAACTTCTAACCTGTGAGGGAATGTTCCTTTACTGGGCATTGATTTCCCAGTGAATGAACAGTATGTGTTAATATGTTGACACCTTAATTTTCAATTCATGATTACAAAAAAAAATTAACATTTTCCAAGTATTTATATGTTATAATTTCAAGAATAGGCTTGTTTTTAAACATTTGTATGACTTATAAATTCATAAAGAGCATTAAAAAATAACCAAAATTAAGTGTTCCTTTACTGGGTGTTCATTCACTGGTAAGACCTGTTCCTTCACTGGTCTTCTTACTACTTGTTATTTGAACCCCCAAAACTTTAAAACAATATTATGTAAGCTCTCTATAATTTTTTTACATAATTTGCAATTAGTAACAAATAAGTTGACACAGTCATTTTACTAAAATTACGAATTTTGAAAATAATATTATTTTTTAAAAGGCAAGCAAAGCTTAAGTGTTCCTTCACTGGTTAGTTTACCCTACATCGGATAATATTTTTCCTTGCCTGGACAGCATTTTTACGATAACAAAAACAGCATTTTTACTTTTTAAAAGATTGCTTTTCACTTTCCAACTTTGAAGACGCACCTACCAAAAACTACTGCTTTGGATGGATCAAACTTTTTCACAAGCAAGCCTTGTTCTATCAGCTGTCAAAATCTAAAACGATTATGCGACTAAAGAGTAAAGTTGGCTGCGAAAATATGCAACTCTCTCGGGTAAAAAACGAAATTAATTTCCGACGAACCCAGTGTATTTTTAAAGTCCTTGTTAAAAATGAAGACAAGAAAAAAAAACTCACACAGTACGAGTGACGAATTCAAACGAGGAAGAAACTGAAACTTTATCAAAATCAATTGAACCAACAGAGAAGATAATAGGATCTAATACGTTAGTATAGTATTTAATTGCTTGACTAAACCTACAGGTGAAAGAAACTTTTAATCATTGTATTTTAGTTCATCCTTACTTTCAACTACAATCAAATATGAATGGTCCATCAACTTTGATTCACTGAAAAAAGAAAAAGTCGAATAGTACCGATTTTCTAACAGCATCTTCGCAGAGTAATAACTAACAAGGAAAACCGAGTATTCCCCAAAATGTAACAGATGGAGCTCTAATGAAAATTAAATACCATTTTCACTAGTATGTATACTTTAGGAGTATGTGGGTGCTTCTTTCTCATTCTGTCCGACCAAGAGATGTAAAAAAAGTGCATATAAAAAAGAAGAAAAATTATCCTATTGAAAAAATAATTAAAAAAAAGAAAAAAACTGCTGTCCTATAATGTGTAACATAGTATTTAAATGAGATGATTTAGTTTTTTTTTTTCATTCAATCTGATTT